ATTACAGCTCCGGATGTTGGCTGATCCTCTTTTCAGTTTGGTGGAAAAACACCCCCACCACGGGAAAGTGCAAGGGAATGGTGACCAACCACAACCAGATACACCCACCCCGACCGTGCTGAGGCTTTCGGAATCGCAAAACAACGGGGCTCTCTTAAGTCACTTTGCATTTCAAACGCTTGTCAGGGTAGGCACGTACTGGCAATGGTACCGTTATGCGTATACGTATTTGTCCTTCGCCAAACATCACCTGTATGCNAAAACCCAAGCGATTGCGGATCCTTTTTTAAAATCGTGTAGCGGTTCTTAAACCGAAAGTTTCACGGCAGCTGCTTTATTTTCTCAACTACGCTTCATAATAGATCTTAACTGGACTGACGCGATAAATCACCCACGGATATAACTCGGCTGTATCTAACATTTCATTTCGCCTGTTCGTCGAGCTTGGCAATTTGTTTACAAACGTTTCATCACCAGCCGAGGTGACATCAGTGCTTGTGAAGTGGTATCTAATATTAGCTGCAGGGAAACGGATAGGTTCAGTTCTCAGTCCCATTGGTGGAATCAGGGATAATCGAAACACGGCTTCAATATCATACTATATCACAACCAACAAGGTTCAGATATTCATTAACATAGTTATGCTTATTACCTAGTTATTATAACAACCAAGCACAGGTTATTCCGACCTCTTCCGGATAAAAAATTCCTCTCCTCAATCGGGCACTATCGAAGTGCACTGCCAATAAAACCGCGTACAGCCAAACAATTCAGTTCAGTTTTTACAACCATTAACGATGTACTTTCGTGGCCCGGTTTTGGCCGACTGTTTGGATAAAAGAGAAGGATGAAAATTGGAATGTTGAAAACCAACTTAAGCGGAGGATAGAGAATTCATACAGACTGGTGTTAAGAGAACAATAAGTAGATGCACGAGCGCCACTGTTTGCGACACCCACCCATATAGGTGACCATCATCTCAGGGTCCCTTCCAGGAAGCCTAACGAGACCTAGTCTCCTGGTCAGGATTTTCATACCTTCATGCCAGGTCTTCATTTGACCACCTTTGACCTTTTTCGACCGCTCCCCGTCTCTGCAAACATCGCTCACCGTGGCAACCTATCTGGTGACATGCGTAGCACATGTCCCAACCAATGTAACCTATGGAGGTCGACCGCGACTAAAACTCTACACCAAACTTCAGCATTGCTCGCTGGGTTACCCCACGAGAATCGTGCAATGCGATTTAGACAGCGGTGTTCGGACACTGACAATCGTTTTTTTATCTAAACTATGGTGACAGTGTTCTCTAAAAGAAACCTTCCTCAATAGGAACTACAACTTTGAGCCTTCTGAACTTTACTCTTCCATTTTCATGCTTTTAATGACTGCAAACAAACCGCATCTTCCCAATTCCCCTGCTCCGATCAGATCTACCATGAGGTTTCAACTACCGTTACCTAGGCCAGTGACCACTCGTTTACAACCTTTTACGATCCTTCCGGATAAACGTTGTCTTGAGGGAGACTGAAATGTTGGTGAAATTCCCAGTAACCAACGCAAGCCAACTGGGTCAGTATTTATTGGAACAATATGGACAGACTAATACAATCGCTTCACTCTGAGGATAATCGTTCACCTCGTATACACATACGATGGGTAGTAGCATTTTCATGCATATTTTAGAACCCTAGTAATCTCCGTCAAGACAAACCAACCTCAAACAATAATAACGATGATCATATGATAACTTATGTGGGTAAGAAGCATCCAACCTTGGAAATTCGACAAGTGCTATTGGGAATTTTCAAATGTTTAGGCTTTTTTATTACACACCTAGGTGTGATGAACAGCAGACGGGGTAAACCCCATAGTCACGAGGACCTGCTGTTCAGTGGTTGAAATCGGCAACCTAAGCCCCGGGAGATGGAGTGGCGAACCACATAAGGCCCCGATAGGTTAGGCATGGTATTGGACCGGACGACAGCAGAGCGGCCTACCACCACTCTCTTCTGGTCTAGTATATAAGGGGGGGGGCATTTTAGTGAAGTTCAAAGTTAATTCTAAATGTTCCACGTCTTCCCTGGGGTTTTTAATTTAATTTTTTGAGGTCCTTGTGCAACCATTGGTTGGGAACCTGGAAGTCATTCAGGCGCAGATCAGTATTGAAGTTAGTGCATTCACTTATTCCGGAGAACAGGACCACAGACTGGGATGTTCGGTTGGTGTACTAGCTGAAGCTAGCAGCACCATATCACATTCTCCATTGTTGAGGCTACACTATTGTGATTCCTGTAACATTTATTCCCCTATGCGTGCAAATTATTAATGTTGCTTACGCTGATGATGATGCCTTAGGCAAATCCCCTGATGACATAATAATTGTCTGCAAGTACAGACTAGCTCATACTCTAGTCGACTTTGTTCCATTAGGCAACATTTGGCCCTAAAGTGCGCTCTCTATTCTGGTAAGGATCATGCATGTTAAAAGGAATAAAGCAGTGCGTTCAAGCGCACATAAGTGGGATATTCCATTTGTGTGTATCTGCAACATTCATGAGTCCGTTGCAAATGACAAGCTTTTGCTCATGAACTTCGCCTGTGATTTTCCAACCCATAATAATGCGGTCTGTTTTACTCCACTCTATAAGACGAAGTGGTGATATCGAGAAGGTTTTTAGCCATCCTCCGGTGCCTCAGCTGAAGTGGACCTCATTGTGAGACATCATATAA